AGCAAATGAAGTGTGGCTGCTGAAATAATTAGAGTCATCAATCACGCAAAGCTAATGCAGCAGCAGCATTGAAGGCTGAAGTCTAATATAGTATTTAATTGCAAAGAACATAACTTGTAAGTTGCCTGCAGTGACATCTGGAGTTATAAAGTCTGAATTACAAAGGCATCATAAAAAAGCACTGAATCCAAACACAAGCCAGATGAGCATATGGAGTTTTGCAGATGCATGAGTAACACAATGCCCTGCAGAAACGCTATAAAAAATCAGATGTAAACAATTTCTTGAGCTGTACCTTCTCTCACTGTAAGGCCTTCATCTTCTCATTCTCCTCCTCCTCTGCCTGTCTCTTCTTTTGATCCATTTCCTCTTTTTGAAGTCATTTCCAGTATTCCAGTATTCCAAGCTTATCTATAATCCCGAGATCCCTAAAGTAAACCATTATTACACTACGAGAACGGCCAAACAGTGACCGGAGCATGTTTTAGCAAATGAAGTGTGGCTGCTGAAATAATTAGAGTCATCAATCACGCAAAGCTAATGCAGCAGCAGCATTGAAGGCTGAAGTCTAATATAGTATTTAATTGCAAAGAACATAACTTGTAAGTTGCCTGCAGTGACATCTGGAGTTATAAAGTCTGAATTACAAAGGCATCATAAAAAAAGCACTGAATCCAAACACAAGCCAGATGAGCATATGGAGTTTTGCAGATGCATGAGTAACACAATGCCCTGCAGAAACGCTATAAAAAATCAGATGTAAACAATTTCTTGAGCTGTACCTTCTCTCACTGTAAGGCCTTCATCTTCTCATTCTCCTCCTCCTCTGCCTGTCTCTTCTTTTGATCCATTTCCTCTTTTTGAAGCTGTAAAGATATTTAAATGTACTGTAAGTATGCACCACACCACAAGTATTTGGGAAAGGAACCAGAAATTTGAAGCAGGTACTCCTAAACCTTTTTTCTCAGCTTTGACTGGCGTGATTCCACCTGCTGTCTTTGTCTGACTTCTGCCAGTGATACTGCACCACCTGTGAGAGTGAATACATTAGCTGCTTTAGATGTTCTTTCCATTGCTTTGTGTCTTTTTTCATATCAGGACTTCCATATATTTAATCTCCACATTACCTAGTCTCTCTGGAGCCAGCTGAATGGGACCAGGGCGGTTCTCCTCTTTCAATCTCCTCAGTTCCTCCTCTTCTTTCTGTGCAACTGCAGAGAGAGAAATGCATTTTATTTCAACACACAAATAGGGTTTGTGACAATGGCTGACGATCAGGGCTGGTAAATGGAAGTTTGCAAAGGGCATGCTACTAAATGACTACTTAATTCATCTACCCTTAGTCAAAGCTAGATGCCGAAAGTCAGAGTCAGTCAGCAGATTTTGGGAATTTGGAGTTGACAGATTTCACGGAGTGGATGATTAAAGCAGAGGAGCCTAATACTGTTCCTGGATCTACCTACCAGCAGATTTCAGTTCCAACCCTGATCAAACACATCTGTCTGTAATTATCGTGTGCTCCTCAATATCTTAATCAGCTGGTTAAGTTGTGTTTGATCAGGGTTGGAGCTGAACTTTGTTGGAAGTTACTGTAGATCTCCAGCAACAGGATTGGGCACCACTGGATTAAAGGAATATTTCACCCAAAAATAAAATTTGCTTATCCTCAGGCCAAGATAGATGAGTTTGTTTCTTCATCAGAACAGATTTGAAGAAATTTAGCATTTCATCACTTGCTCACCAATGGATCCTCTGCAGTGAATGGGTGCCGTCAGAATAAGAGTCCAAACAGCTGATAAAAACATCACAATAATCCACAAGACTCCAGTCCATCAATTAATATCTTGTGAAGTGAAATTCTGCATGTTTGTAAGAAACAATCCCATTATTAAGGAGTTTGAACTTTAAACCGTTTCTTCTTGCCAAAATATGAGTACATAATAATCCATAACTCTTCCTCCAGTAAAAAAAGGCCATCCCTGTTGTCCTCACACATCAAAATCACACATCAAAATCCACTGACATATTTGTTTACAACTGTTTTTGTCTTGCATACAAAAACATATTTCTCTTCTGATTCAGACGAGACGACTTTTTCACTGGAGAAAATAATATGGATAGAGGACTCATATTATATTTTATTTTAAAAACATCTTAATGATAAATTTGTTTATTACAAACATGCAGCTTTTGACTTCACAAGACACTTCGTGTGGATTATCGTGATGTTTTTATCAGCTGTTTGGACTCTCATTCTGACGGCACCCATTCACTGCAGAGGATCCATTGATGAGCAAGTGATGTAAGGATAAATTTCCCCAAATCTGTTCACATCTGTCCAACACCTTGGATGGCCTGAGCGTGAGTAAATGTTCAGCAAAATATAATTTTTGGAGGAACTATTCATTTAAAAATCTTAAAAAACAAAAAAAATAAACCTTTAGCATCTAACTAATACTTTTCATTGCAAAACATGTACATTATAGTAAAACGTTTGTTTTGAGTTTTAAATGTTCTTCACACACTAAGAAAAACATGTTTTTTTTTTAAATGTTCTTCTATTGTATCACTGCAAACCCCTCCTTCTTTAAAGGACTGTGTATGATGGGCACAGACCATGATTTTTTAGCTCTACACAAATATGTTTGATATTTTAAGCAATAATTTTACAACACATATTGTTTTCATTCATCATGAAATTCATCATTCTCCTAGCAACAATGCACTTGTTTCTGCGTGAGTTTGCTGTCTTTAGAACGACTCAGTCCTCAGTCATTTAGTGATGCTAAGTTTTTTTTCTGTAACCAAAGATAGCAAGTGTAGTGTTTAGTGGCTAGTGTTTTCAAATGTGTTTGTTCAGATTTTGTATTCCAGCCTTAAGATAATAATGAACTACATTAACAACAACAACAAGAGAAATCTGTCTTCTCTTGCAGATACAGATAAACATGCTGAAATTGCACCTGATGGTAGCAATTAGAGACACATCTGGATCACATGAAGATGGAAAATACAACAACAGTAGTGTCATGACTTACTCCTCTGCTGTTTGCTCCGTTTTGATTCATTTGGTGGTATCTTGGTGTATCCATCCGCACTGTGGGCAAATGATGGCATGCATTAGGTACATTTGTTTTCAAGTTCAGACTCCATCCATGTGAACTTATCAGATGTCTCATATGCCTGCAATGTCTCCAAACCAAGGTGGGGCACAAGTCATCTTTTCTTACGTAAAGTCAGAATTTTTCACAAACAACTCTGGGGAACTTCCCCTCCATCCCCATCATATTTGATGGTGACCCAATACACACACCCCAAATAATGCAGCTGTCAAAATCCATTTCAAAACACATCTGTATCATAGATGATCCCCTGACATCACAAATAACCCAAAATGTGCAGCCGGATGACACATAAAACAATGAGTCATGTGGTATAAATCAAAATGATTAGAATTAGGCATGATGAAACTGAACACAAATATAAAGAGTACAGGCAACAGTTCCATACTTTACAGTAAATAACAAATTAGGCCTAATTTAATAAACAAACCAATGACATGGACACAAATAACTGGAATTCCCCTTAGAAAAATTCACCATGCAACCAAATTCCTGCAAAAATATCATAAATACACAGTTATTGTTACTACACGAAAACTAAGCAATTTGGTCATCAAAGAAGAGAGAAGTTAAAATGACAAAAAGCTTCTCACATAGTTAAAGAGATCACATATTGATTTACTATGACTTTGCATTTTAATTTTTGATAAAATAAATCGATTTTATTTACACAGTAGTTAATGATGTTTGTTTAGTAACATTTTGTCATGTGATAGCAGTATGTGCTTATTCCTTTACTGTAGTTAGTTAATGAAATATGATATTTAACAATGTAGGCTACACCATGTAAATAAAGGCAAACATTTGGATAGAATTTAAGAAATTATAGATGTAGCCTACTTAATAAAATGTATTGGCTATAAACAGTTGGTAGTAATAAGTTGGTAAGTTTAGCCAAGATATTTACTCAAAAAATATTGAAAACCTCCTATTTGTACTGTCCACCAGAGGATTGTTGCATTTGTTTGTTGGTTTGCTTTGTTTCTTAATGATATTTTACTAGCCTATTTATTTAAGTGTTTTAATGTTGTCATTTACTATCTCTAATGATTCGAAGAGAGATAAATAGGAAAATGTGAGCGTGTGGAATCCAAGACAAACTGGCCTTCCTCACAATACTGTAATTTTGGACTCAGTTGCCATGGTAAATATTCGTATCTGAGTTTCGCTTCTTCAGAATGTTTTTACAGAAACGAAAGTGAAACTAAAGTAGCTTCTGGTTTATATACAGAGAAAGAACTAGCAATAAATGTAGATTTAATCGCCAAAATGACCGATCGATTGCTCAAACACATCGAAATAACGATATATGTTAAAAATGTAAAGAAAATGTACATATATTTATTTTTATCATATATATTATTTTATAAATATATTGTTATTATTATATCAAACGTATATAAACCTAGTATGAGAGTCAAATTCATGATATTTTTCTGTTGTACTTACCGTGTTGGCTGATTCTGAGGGTTTGAAGTACTAGGTGAGTTATTCTCACAATAATTTTCATTCGTTTGCTCGCTGTCCGTCATATTGCTGCTTTGATTTATTTCATTTCCTCTATATGCACGGCTTCCTCTGGAGTTTCTCTGTAGATGTGTAGATCGATTCATGTTGGTTTATTCTTGTGTCGCGTGATTCCTGACCTTTACATACACCAGAACAGCTCACTGGCACTGACAGGGAGTTGGTTATGGCATAGTCTCTCTGTGTGGGATTCCCCGCTAAACACCAGTATTCATATGAAACATAGTGCATGAAAGCTTTTTAATCACACGATATATATATCTAATTATATATTATTCTTGGCAGTTACAGCTTGTTTTGGAGGTTTAGGGCACATGAAGCTCTGGGGTATGAAAACGCGTTGCTCTGTTTTGGAATCGCGAGACCCCGCAGCAGCGCGAAGTTTGTCCCTCTGGTTTCTCCGTAGGTGTGTCTGTCCGTGTCATCATCAGCATGGCGAGCTCCAGTCGTGTGGTGATTGAGGGGGACTTCATGAGAAATGCTGAATATACACCGAAATCCACCGGGCAGAGTGAGACAGATATTGACAAACGCCTTGTGAGTAAATGTCGCGCTGGAGAGTCCGGAGCATTTACACTGTTTTACTATGAAATGGCTGAGCTTGTGTCATGAGAGTTCAATCAGTGTGCTCATCCATAGTATTGACCTTGCTGCTCACATCTGAAACTCAAAGCATTTATCTGAAGACTTTTACCTTTTTTGTTTTTTAACCAGAGATGTTATAACAATTATAATGTTATATCAATTGCCAAACACCTAATGTAAACTAATGCATTAACAAAAATGGCCCAATAATGATTATGTAAGTGTTGTGACATGGGAAATTAACACTTTATGGCCCACAAAAAGCTATAAGTACAAGTATAGTCATTTGTCAAGCCAATCTTGTTTGTCAAAGCCTTATTTGAAAGTTAAAAGGTTAACTTTGGTCTCTAAGGTGTTCTTGGTTTCTAGGGCATTCTAGGTCTTTGCTATGCATTTTGAGATAGTAGCTGGGGCATTCTGGGTGTTTTTATTAATTTTGGGGTATTGTCTGAGAAGCTAGATAGATAGATAGATAGAAAGAAAGAACATCTTAAAGGTTAAAGGGCCTGTGTTTACATCTGAACTATATGACATTTGAAGCGTAGTAGCTCTGGGGCATTCTGGGTGTTTTTATTAATTTTGGGGTATTGTCTGAGAAGCTAGATAGATAGATAGAAAGAAAGAACATCTTAAAGGTTAAAGGGCCTGTGTTTACATCTGAACTATATGACATTTGAAGCATGAATTCATGAATCATACAATGCCATGATTCATCAGTCAGACTGAACATTCAGTCAGTGGAAGTCTATGGAATTTTGGGATTTTTCAGATACAGGAAAAACACTCTTTAGAATTAGCAAAAACAGTTCTAGGAAGAATCTTAAATTTCCAGTGGAAGTCTCGTCTGGTTTTTAAATTTTTAATGGTCTGCTATGGGAGAACCTTATGTGCCTTGTCTAATGCTTAAAATCCTTCTCTACCAGCGATTGACTTGTGTTTATTATTAATTATCATAGTGATGTGATGCTTGTGTGTGTGTTTCAGGGTGGCTGTCTGATGGCAGTGGGGCTGGGAGTTGCAGCGGCAGGGTTTGCAGGTGAGCACATCTGCTTTGGACCCCTGTGTATGCATCCACTTGGAGATTTGTGTGTCATTAAAACTCGTGTTACATAGTCACATGCAGATGCTACATGCATTTATATAATTTGTGTGGTATGGCCTAGTGGTTAAAGCTCTGGGCTGAGAACCAAAGGCTACCGGTTCAAACTGATGATTGATCACCATTGTGCTTTTGAGGTAGTGCTCAACCTCAGATTACTCCAGAGGAGACTGGATTGCTTGTATTTTCTTGCATGGGTTGACTGTGATAAGCAATTTAATAGCATTAGCCATGTGACAAATTACACATTTAGTTGGTTTACGCAATATTGTCATGTTATGACACACGATAGTGTTAGCCTCAGCAAATTGCAATAGTTTTTAAGAGCAAAGCATACAAGCTTGTTGCTATGCAAACTCAATTTCATGTACCTTTGAGTTCCAAAACGTGTCAGAATTAAGTGATATCACACAAGTAAGAGAGCTGATGTTTCAAATATCAGCATTAGCACAATTGTGAGTGTGTTACTGCTTTTATGCAGCAGTTCAATAAACAAGAATTTAGTATTGAGTAACTTACATTTGAAATGCACTTTTGCCTGTTACTTTGTCTTTTTTTGCTTTGCCATTAAAAATATTTCCAAATGGATTTGAAGCAGAATTTACTGTTGCATGTCTGAGCAGATCACATTAGTGGTGTTTTATTTCTGAATGAATCAGTGTGTTTAATCAAATCAGTTGAGTAAATGATTGAGTTACTCACTCACAAAGACAGTCACTTGTTTCGATCCTGAATGAATCAGTTCGCTTGAATGAATAAGTGAGGCAATGATTCAATGACTCACTCATAAAGACTTTTGGATCTCATTCACTAAGCATGTTAGGTGCAAATGTGTGTGTGATCTGGAAACAAAGGTTTTTATGAGCAAATCATTGCTATAATTTTCAAACTAAAATTTATTCTAAATTGACAAATAAAAAATATAGGAACAACAGAAACCACACACAAGAAAAAAAATCAGTATGCACAATTTTTTTTTCTTGTGTGTGGTTTCTGTTGTTCCTACCATTTTTTGGCATCATAATCATGTTAAGGTGAAATTTCGTACATCACTATATCATCACGTTACAGTAAAAGTAAGAAAAGCTGTGTTAATAAACTCTAGCTGCAAGGTTTCTCTGTGTAAAAACCATAGACTGTATAAAAACATGGACGTAGTGTCCGTGACGTCACCCGTAGGTTTCCGAAGAGCGTTTTTGAAGCCTAAAGTAGGCGGAGCCGGCCGTCGCCATCTTGGCAGCGCGTCACCGCGCGTCACTCCTGGATAATCGAATATGAGATTGGCTCCCTTTTGGAGCCAGCCTCTAGCGGCCAGTCGATGAATTGCAGTTTTAGTCACTTCCGTGTTGGTTTCACGAGAGAGACCGGAAGGTTGCCGCTTGGTAAAAACACAGTTATGGTTAGGGCTGGCTAATGAGAGTTCTGTAGTCTGGGTCTGTGTATAAAAGGTGTTTATTGAACTGGTTTTGAGGATAGCATTGCTTGAGGACCTTTGTGCATGTGCTCTTTGGCAAGTGCGCAGCTTTAGAAAGTGTTGTATGTTTGCCACCGAAAGTAATTAAAGGCTATAAAGGAAAAAAATATTAACCTCAGGCGCATGGTCACTCATGTTGAGTACTCAAGCCAAGGTTAAAGGATTAGTTCACTTCCAGAATAAAAACATTCTTTATTTCTTTCTTTCTTCAGTCAAAAAGAAATGTAGGCCAATGACTGGTTGTTTATCTAGATAAGACCCTTATTCCCCGATTTCTCGGATCGTGTAGAGCCCTTTGAAGCTGCAATGTTTTCCTCAAAAATCGTAATTTCTTTTCGACTGAAGAAAGAAAGAGATTAACATCTTTGATAACATGGTTGTGAGTAAATTATCAGGAAATGTTTATTCTGAAAGTACTAATCCTGTAAGTACAAATTCATGCACATACGTGCATGTTATGAATTAGAAATACATTTTTCATGAGAAGTTCTCCTGTGTGTGCAAATATGAAGTAATCTACTAAATTATTAGTGAATGTGACCCATGCACCTTTTTTGATCCTGAATGTATCGGTGTGTTTGAACAAATCGGTTTAGTAAATGATTCAGTGACACACTCATAAAAACACTCGTCAATTATCTCAGTCCTAAATGAATTGATGTGCTAGAGCAAAACAGTTGAGGGAATGATTCAAATACTCACTCATAAAGACAATCACTTGTTTCGATCCCGAATGAATGAATGAATGTGCTTAAATGAATCAGTGACAGCTCCCCACCACTAATACACAGACTGACGGTCTGTCTAGAAAGCACTAACACAGACAAGTAAAGTGATATCAACGGTGAAAAGTCCCAGTGCTGTTGAACTAGATATCAGCACTCTTGGAACACCGTGTTGGCGAAGCTTTCGTGTTTGCGTTCTGGCGCAGACTATGTTTCTAGGCAGGATGTTTGTAAGCTAAAATCCCTCATGTTGCGGTTCACAGTAGAATAGAGTAGCCATTGTATAATGTAATAAAAATTTTTTCCTCCTTTGTCTTCTTAAAATATTTAGTTAAACTTTCCGTACATTAAAGCTGCCCACAGATATTTATGATGTGATTCTAAAGGATTGGAAGCACTCGAGATAATGGTGACGGTGATGAGGGTGATGGTTAAGCCACTCTTACTGTGAGTGTTTGTTCAAGCCCTCAGATGAAGCTCACCCTGGTTAATGAGGTCAACGCGGCCTCTAGCATTAAAGGAATCAAAGCGACTTTAAACGGCCGCATGTGGCCAAATAATTTAAGCGACTTTGTCATCGGCCTGTTTACGTTTGATTCTTTTGTGGCAGGTGTCTCTGCCGTCCTCCCTACTGCTGCATGGTAGTTAATCATTGTTAGTCACCAAGTCTTCCACCCATAGCTGTGTGAGGTCAGGATGGAATAGCACTTGTGGTCGCTTTGAGGAAGGGGGCTAATTCCCATTTCAGTACATCGAGGGGGCAGCGCTCCTGCCAAAAGCTGAGGCGGTGTGTGGTCTGCTCCGCTCAGAGGCAGGGCTTTGGATTACAGTGGAGGGTGCTTTTTTGCTGAAAAGCAAAATAATGTTTTCCTCTCAACAATAGAGTTTGATGAAATGAAAATCCAAAAATGTTCCCATAATGAATTACTTTAATGATTTCATGTGTTCTTCACCTACTGTTTGGTTGGATTAAATGAGCCGCTCAATGGCCTTTCACAGCTTCTTTATTGAATGCTGGATGTTCGAAAGCATTATATGTTCATTTCATTGAGTGCTGCGGACTTTCAGTGTGTTGCTTCACAGTCGAACCACAACCGCTGGCAGTTCACCAGCACCCTGACCAAATAAATACCAAGGGAAGTTGAAAGCGACCTCACCTTTAACCCATATTGAATAAGACTAAAATGTGGTTTTGTCCTTGGTTTCACCCTTAAACCAACTTTGTTAACCCTGGAAATTAACTCTGTAATGGTCTGATCAAGTGGCACACTTTTCAACCCATCAACGCTTTTTTCCCTTTATTACATTTGCTTTTAGGTCGATATGCTTTCCACTTATGGAGGCCTCTGAGTCAGGTGATTACAGAAGCTGCTAAGAAGTTACCCTCTACGGTAAGTGTCAGAAATGAACAGACCATTTTTAACATACACACTGAAAAAAAGGTACAAAGAACACTAAAAGCTAAACGGTACATCTCTGTACCTTATTTATCAACAAATGGTATATATTGGTTCCTTAATTGTACATATTAGTACTTTTTATAAGAACATGTTAGTACCTAAAGTGTACATCCTAATACCTTTTAAAAGGGTAGCGCCCTAGTCACAGTTTTGTACCTTTTTTCTGAGATTGTAAATTTCTGTGATTGCTTTCTAACACCCTATGAATCAGTTTTTCCACTGTGAAAAGTTCCAGCACAACATTCATTTTTAAACATGCTTCTATTTCAGAAAGCGATGATTTGTGGGATTTTTCCATGTTCATTTCCACATCTTGAGGCGAATGTTTGCGTGCGATGTTGGCATGTTAAACCTCCTGCTGTAGGGCGATGGACTGATTCATCACATCTTACTGGCCGTTGCTGTAGTTCACGCTGTGCTTCTGGTTTTTGATGGAGTTTGTAAAGCTGTTTTTTCCAGGTTCTTCTTAATCTCCAGGGTTGTGTGGTCGGGGCTGGTTCCCAGTGCTTTGATTCAACCTGTCCACCTGTGTGCACTCTGAAATTTCTATAATCTCAGCGGCTTTCTCCTAAACCGGGTTCGCGACAGAGCACACTTGTAATAGATCATTATTAGAGTTATTAATCCAGCGATTTCATCATTCTGTGAATCACATAATGGATGAGTGTGATTAAGTGTCCTGTTGTGGGCTGAGATTGGACTGAACATTCTGGCCTCTCTTGCCCTCTGAACATACACGTTTTTACTCAATCGTGAACTCTGACCAAAATCCTGCAGTATGTACGATTTCTGAAGGAGCCACAGACCAATGTTATTCTGTTATGGAATTTTAATTAAAGGGATAGTTCAGCAAACAACTATGAGAATTCTGCCGTTGTTTATTCACCCTCATGAGTACATGTGTTCCAGACCTGTGTGCTGTTTTTTTGCCGTGGAACACAACAATTTGTGATATCACAAAAAAGACATTTCTGTAGAATTGTTACGAATCTCTTGCTTATGCCACCACAGTTTATAGTCATTTGAAATGACCAAAAAACATAAAGCATACTAAAATGATCGTAAACGTAGTCCATACATTGTGCGCTATACTCCATGTTGCCATACTGTCTGTTTTGGTCTGTTCTTCATACAAACCTATTTTATGGCTTAAAGGAGTAGTTCACTTCCAGAACAAAAATTAACAGATAATGTACTCACCCCCTTGTCATGTAAGATGTTCATGTCTTTCTTTCTTCAGTTGTACAGAAATTATGTTTTTTGAGGAAAACATTTCAGGATTTCTCTCCATATAGTGGACATCTATGGTGGCCCCGAGTTTGAACTTCCAAAATGCAGTTTAAATGCAGCTTCAAAGGGCTCTAAACGATCCCAGCCAAGGAAGAAGGGTCTTATCTAGCGAAACGATCGGTTATTTTCTAAAAAAAATAAAATAAAATATGTTAGGCGATTTTGAAGTTGGAGGAGAAAATGAGTTGGGAGTTTTTCGACATACCCTAACTGTCTTGAACCGGAAAAAACAGTTCACGCAGAGCTAGACAAGACGAGCGTTTGAGGTTAAAAAGTATATAAATTGTTTTTTTTTAGAAAATAACCGATCGTTTCGCTAGATAAGACCCTTCTACCTAGGCTGGGATCGTTTAGAGCCCTTTGAAGCTGCATTTTTTTGGAAGTTCAAATTCGGGGGCACCATAGAAGTCCATTATATTCAGGGTTCCCATGCTTCTTGAAAGTACTTGAAAGTACTTGAATATCAGACACATGGATTCAAGGCCTGGAAAGTACTTGAAAACAAATATAGGTCCTTGAAAATGCTTGAAATAAATTTGAAATAAATTTTGTTTAGTAGAATGGTGCTATTTCAAAAATGTTCCTATATGCGCTGGCAAAGGCAAAACGAAACAGCGCTAATGATTGGGGTGGAGATGGGGTAGCGCGAGAAAAAAATCTTAGCATGCGAGCTGATGCGCACATCGCGCAGCCCTGCATGAACCTATGGAGAAGCAGTGCATTTGCGACTGAAAACTACTGCATGTGACTATGAAAAAATATTTAGGAGCACCAGTGCAAATGACCCAGTCAGCATATTTGTGTTTGCGCTGAGGGGAGCTTCAAAGGTTTCTATCGTACTTCCGTGTTTTTGCAGCGGTGAGTAATGTATCACAGACATATCTGTTGATTCCTTGAACACAGTAATCAGAATCCACTCATTGCTCAAAATGCCGTTTTGTTCAGTGCTGAGTTCTGCAAGCTCACGAATCCTCTCATTATAAAAGTGTAGACAGGGTGCAAATAAGAGATTCACTGTGCAGTGGAGAGCTGCGTTGATTATAATGGAACTTGATGAGATCGCGATGAACGAAGGAGAGTGACATCTTTTAATGATCAAGAGAGTTTGCAAATGATAATTGGTTTAATACAACAGTTCATTAAACAAGAAGTTAATATTAAGTGACTTAAATGGTGCTTTAAAAAGTCCTTGAAAGTCCTTGAATCTGGCGTTCATGAAAGAGTGGGAACCCTGTATATTGAGAGAAATCCTGAAATGTTTTCCTCAAAAAACATAATTTCTTTACGACTGAAGAAAGAAAGACATGAACATCTTAC